CTATGATCCATTATGGCAGTACAAGTCACACAATTATCCTCCAGACAACATGTCATGTAGGTTACATCATGCAGCCCAGGACACAGCACAAGAGATAAGGGTTCACAGAAAAGTCCTGAACCTCTGTTCCAGCTTAAAGAAACTCTGCAGTCATAAAGCAGAGATTTAAAAAAGTTCCTTGAATGCATACTTTTAAAGATGCATTGTACAGAAGGAGAGCTTTCTTTTTAGAATGCATCTCATGTGGCACCCCATTGTATTAATCTTTGCATTACCTTTCAGGACCAACAGTGACAAGTCTCAAAACGTATTTGTGTCATGAAAGATGTCATTTTATTTCCATTAAGTTGAATTAATCCACCTGTTCTTTCCTGCTGAGATTTATACAAGGTAGTATAAGGAAAAACTCCAGCTACTTTAGACCTGCAGAGAGGAATAGAATGGATTTTACTGTTACAGAGAGATTGCAATACTGAAAGTATCCTGAAATATTTTATAGTATAAAAGAGATGGACTCATTCCTAGAATGTAAAATCTATTTTCGATTTCCTGTATTCAGTATCTTGGATGTCTATCCTACTTAACATTAGTTTACAGAACTTAGCTTGGACAGGGATTTACATTTCAAACAATATCAAGTCTTAAAAGCACAAAATAGCTTTAAGAGCTGTGTTTTGGTCTCACTTCTAGATAACAGTAACATTGCTGATGAGGAATAGAAACATGACATGAAAAACTGCTACAGCAGTTACACAGTAAATGGGAACCTTTTGACACTGGAATTTGCTTTGCTAAAAAAAAATTAAAAATAACACAAAGAGAAAAAAAACCCACAAACTGGCCAGAAAAATCATAGAATCATAGAATGGTTAGAGTTGATCATCTAGTTCCAATCCCCCTGGCCTGGGCAGGGACATCTCCCACTGCAGCAGGTTACTCAAAGCCCCATCCAGCCTGGCCTTGAACCCCTCCAGGGATGGGGCACCCACAACTTCCCTGGGCAACCTGTTCCAGTGTCTCACCACCCTCATAGTAAAGAATTTCTTCCTAGAATCTGGCCTAAATCTCCCCTTTTTCAGTTTAAAACCATTACCCCTCATCCTCTCACCACATGCCCTTGTAAAAAGTCTCTTCCTGTCTTTCCTGTAGGACCCCTTTAGGCACTGCAAGGACACTATAAGATCTCCCTGGAGCCTTCGCTTCTCCAGGCTGAACTATCCGAACTCTCTCAGCCTGTCTTCTCTTCTGTACATTTTTCAGACTGTAAAAGTTCATACTCTGTGTTTCTCCCAGAGAAATGTTAGAAGTAATTGCATCATAAATCCTTGACATGTTATTCCACATGATCTTTGAGTGTGGTTCAAATTAAATTATTAATATAAATCTTCTTTTTTTTTTTTTTTTCTACAGTACTCTGTTTAGAATAGCTACATTTATATTCTCTCTGCTTAGTGTACATGATGGCTGTCAGTCATCTGCAGGTCCATTTCAAAAATATTAGTAAATTTCATACATATTCAGTATTCAACAAAATTTTGTGACTTCCCTGGATCATTTCACCTCTGTGTTATTATTGTTATTGTTATTTTCCTTTTCTGCCATTGTTCTATTAAAATGTCTTTCTTTCAACTCATGAGGTTTTTTCTTTCCTCTTCCCCTTGTCCTTCTTGGGGGAAGAGGGAGAACTGCAAGAGCTGCTGCACGATCCTAGCTAGGGTTAAATAGTGACATTCGCATAATCACAGAATGGTTGAGGTTGGAAGGTGCCTCTGGAAGTTATCTGGTCCAGTTCCCTGCTCCAGCAGGGCCACTAAGAACAAGCTGCCCAGGACCACGTGCAGATAGCTTTCGAATATCTCTAAAGAGTTCTCCAACCTCCCTGAGCAAATTCATTTTATTTAAAATGTAAGCAATTTTTAGAACATAGATTTGAACAGAGAGTTGTGATAAACAGTAAAATCATCCCAACTTTATCTTATGTGCAAGGCAGAAGGCCACTGTTAGGGCAATACCTTAGCTAGACAGTTAACCCACAAGGACATGGAGTCAGCACTTTCACCACTTTTAGCATGTCCAGAGCAGAAATCACTGATATCTAAGAAACACACAAGTTCCCAACTACCTCACTTCTCCCAGTGCTATGACTTCTTTCTGGGGTGGTCTGTCTACCTAAGAGAACAACAATGACAACCTCTAGTTAAATTTTTCTTCATTTCAGTATCTTCCTGCTGTATCTTGATTAAGGCAAGGGTGTAAGGGTTTGCAATTGTGTAAGAGTTCCTCACTGGTTTGAGGTTATTCAGCAGAGCACAGAATGTAACTCCACTGAATGACAGCACATTTCCATTACTGTAGAAATTACTTGAGACACGCTGTCGTGGACTGGGACAGTGCTAGAGTAGGACAATACATATGTTTTTAATTCTTCATTAGGAAAATACTTTACATGTAGTATGAAATATATATATATCCTGAGGTCTCTATCCATCGTGTTTGCCTTTCGCACATAGTGTAAAATACACAATCTAGAATTGATGAGCTCTGTATCCATCATGTCTCTACAAGGAAAGGCAGAGAACCGATTCTTCTTGCAGTGCAAAAGAGAAAAGGAAAACATGCTGGTTCCCTGTACAGGGTGAAATAAGGAAAGATTATTTCAGAGTTAGGGAACCCAGTATTAGGTTAGGGCATTAGCTTGGAAATCTGAATACCTGGATTCAATTTCCTGCTAAGCGGGTGACTTCAGATCCCTGGGTGAACATTGGCAAGCCATTTAGTCACACACAACTTCCATGCTCTGTCAGTAAATTTATGATAAGAGTATTCTCACAGTACGAGAATACACACATTAAAGGTTTTCAGGTATTGGATATTCAATGAAAAAGGATATGATTTGGAGAAATGCGAGCAATGCACTCACACACTTGGCAGAACAGAATGTGCTGCTGTGTGGATTTTCTTCCTTTCAGTTCTAAAATGGGGCTGATTTAGAGCTCAATAGGATTTTAAAGAAGCTTGGTTCCTTGTGCTTTTTTTTAAAGTCTAAAAATTGTATTTCAGCTCTCTGAGGATTCTGATGTATCAAAGTTTATTTGGGATCAAAAGTAGAAACCAACAATTTTCACTGAAAGAAAAATTTGGAAAAATGTACTTATTGTTTTAATTAAAATAAAATATTTTAAACTTTACTGAATTTAAGCATTTTCCACTATTTATTTTGAAGTGCTTTGTTTTGATGGAACATTCCAGCTATTTTGCTACATTTAATATTAAAGTCACTTCAGTGTTTGTTTTACTAGTCATGCTAGTTTACCTTTCAAGTGTTACATGGATGGCAAAGGGAAAGGTAAAGGTATTGTGTGCCCTGTATATCTCCTTTTCAACCTCTTTTCTCTCTGTGTTTCTCTAGAAATGACAGCTTATGAGACAGGAGGGTCCAGTATTGTAAATGTTTAGTGTAGGCTTTTTATCTCTAGCCTCTTGGATAGAGCATCTTTTTAAAATGTTGGGGGTTTTTTTATTGTTTTTTTACAGTACCTATCACCATAACAGTGATACACAGGACACACAGTGGGACAATCCACACAGTATTAGTGGATTTTGAGACACAACATTTCTGCAGGACACTAAAGTGGTACCACAGTTTCGCAGCTTGGGACTGAAGACAGTGAGGAGAATAAGAAAGGTAGAAATACTAACAAAGCATGCAATTGCTACAGAAAATCAGTACAGATGTTCAACAGAAATTCAACAAATCCTTTTTGTGATTTTTTCATGAAGAATGAGTGACTTGCCAGAAGTGTTACAGAAAATCAGTGGCATGGTTAAAAACAGACTGCAAGCCCACTTAGCCAATGCCTTCCCCACACATTTTCTCTCTGAAGTTGAGTTTTTACATTAATTTAACAGCTGGTTTTCTAGTTCCATTTTGTTGCTTTTGGAAGCCCAAATTAAATTAGCAGTGTTGAGTGCTTGGTTTTATTTTATCCATTTGTAATGTGCACTATTTTATCCATTTGTAACGCATAGCACTGAAATTAGGGAAAGCAATTTTCCTCCAATGCTACTTGTCATAATTAAATCTGTACTACTAAAATGGCCCTGAGGAAAAATGACATGGCCACATAGATATGACATGGTCATATCATACCCATATTGATAAAATCTCTTCCTTCTTCCAAAATGAACGGCCTCATCCACAGGGACTACGTGAAACAAGTTCCAGGCCCTGTGCTCTAAAACGTGTAGTTTTTCATACAAGGCAGAAGTGGTTCAAGCAGCAGGACCCACACCAGGGCACCACCCCTGGTGACAAAGGCACTCTCCTTTGAAGGAAACTTAAGGATGCTGCTCCAAACTCAGAAGACCAGAGATCATACCACAAGTCATTGCCTTACCAGTTGATTATCCTCATCTCAGGACACTTACAGTTATGAGACATCTTTTCTTATGTAAGTCACCAGATCTTTATTGTATGAGACTAACTTGTATGAGACTAATTTTATGAGAGGAATGCTCTAAGAATACCTGCCACAACTCACCCAAAGGCAAGATGACTGGGAAATACGCTGCTTGGGGATGCTCCAGAGCTCAGTGTTCAAGCAGTTTGGCCTTTAGAGACTTATTCACATGTCCACAAAATACAGATAGACGTTCAAAAGGGAATTGACAGTCTCAGTGGTAATAAAATGATGGAAGTGAATATCAAAATTGGCATTAAGAAGTCTAGGTCTCTCTTACAAGATTAGCTTCAAGGTTCTCTAGGCTGTGAAACAGGAATCCTATTGGTTGAAATACCCATCTATTGAATAAGAACAATATTTTCTAGGAATATTGTGAGAAAAAAATGTTTAAGATTCTGCTATTATGGCAACAAGGACTGAGAAGTACACTGAAAGGATATCTAAATACAACAAACAGTGTCGGGAGTGGGAGACGGACCCGGAGTAACGATGTAACCTCAATATGAGTATGATCGTTCTCCCTTTATTTATGTTTTTACAAAGTATATATAGACAGGCAAGCAGAGCACGCGCTAACGGTAGCTCTACGATTGGTTTACAATCTGTTCACGCGACCAGAGCGCTCACACAATCGGTGCAGACCCCTTGTCCACACGCAGCAACATTCTCTCATCTCCTGGATGCGGTCCCGTTTATCTCATCTACCAAGTAGCTGCTTCTTCTTCCTTCTGCTTTTCCCAGGAGAGTTCACGGTCATCTCCAGGCCTTTATCTCCAGCAAAGACTGGGTTGCTCCTCGCAATTAAGTCGTGCCCCTTTTCACACAGCCATTCCTCCACAAAACAGTGACAGATGTAATGACAAAAATATGAGATACATGAATACCTGCGTTCAGTTTGTTCACTGCTTACCTCTATTTTCTGTCATTTTTTGTGGGTTGGGATTATTTAAGATTTTTTTTGATAGGAAGGAAAGGTCAAGTGTTTCTGAATAAAAGGACAAAAGATAGCTTTATAAAATGTATAATTGTTATCTAGGATAAAATTGAATGTGTACATATAGAACTTGTACAATAGTAAGGTAATTGTATTATACCTTCACTTAGTGTGATGTGACACCAGTGCTGTGTACAGAGGTACATGAAGTAAGAAAAAATTTAATATGCTTTATAGTGGGTTACCCATATTGGACAGATATCCCTATTAGGGTAAAAAAAAAAAAAAAAAGGAAAAGGGAAATAAAAAATAATTTGCTCATCTAAGGGACATGAATTTGTTGGATTTAGGGATACGAATAAGTGGTCTACATTTGAGTTTCAAGGATGTTGTTCATAGAATGTGATTTTCTTCTGTGTAACTTGTAAATAAAATAAAACTTTTCTTTTATTTATAAGCAGGGTGACTATATTGTTACATTAAAAGCAAGGAGGATATTCATGGTTGTGAGATCCAATGCTGAAACATGTTAACACTAAATGGAATATAAAAGACAGGCTAAGAGAAATGGAAAAAGAACTTTTAGTTATTTAAAAGTATTTCCCTTACCTACACACCCACAAAGGAAAAAAGACAAATTAAAATATCTTATTTCTCTGAGAGATTAAAAGAGTCGTAATCTGGAGGTTCCTATTTGAATGACTGAGTTTGCAATTGTTTTGTTTATAATAGAGATGTTTGTGACATGTTTTAATGTATGCTTTTGAATCAAATGTCAAAAAATCTTAATATCCTAAAATGACTGACATTAAAATCCAAATGGAATTAATATCAAATTAGTAAAATTTCCTTGTGGCTCCTATGCTGTATATATTGCTGTACATACACAAGGAGAAACCCTGAATTGTGATAAACACCTGTTATCGTGGCAAACACCTGTTATCCTGACAAGGTAGATCATTACCATTTTACAGATGAGACATTTAATTGCATTCTAATGCTGCACTTGAACAAAGTGGCCAAGATTGTGGGGATCTTTTGTGTGTGTATGGTTGAACTTGGTGATCCCAGAGGTCCTTTCCAACCTTTAAGATTCTGTGATTCTGTGATTCTGTAAAGAGTAAGTGTGAATGACAGCATTTTCTGGGACATTGGTACTATGTCCACTGTAGGGACAAGGCCAGAGTCAACCATGATTTAATCTGTGCTGTTTAACAAAAGTTCCTTTGGATGGACACTAGCAGCACGTACAAGAGAGGTGTGGGATAGAGGGATGTAAACATCTAAATTTTTTCCCAGTTGTTACCCAGAAAATAATTAGCGCACACATGCCAGTACAGAGCCTGGGAAACACTGCTGCTCCCACTGCCATAACCAAAGTAACTTGTGCAAGATCATGAAGCAAGTCAGTCCCAGAACTTGCATCATGACTGCAAGCTCTAGACCATGGTCCTTGCCTTAAATGTGAAAGCATTTCAAATTGTTTAAGAACTAATCATTTGTCAAATTATGAAGAGCTGAATAGACTGCAGTCTCTTTTGTGATTCCGACTCTGTGGAGATGAGCACATGAATGAAATTGTATTCTTGCAAGCAATATATCTTCAATAAAGCAATTATTCCAAAAAGGTAGAACCAGCAAATTAATTAAAAACATTGAATAATAATTTGATTTAAGATTTCTCTTCAACCATGGAAATCACAACTGCTATAGAAGTGCTAAAATTAAACATCTGTGTCAAAGAATCAGTCTGAATAAATAAATCACCAGAAAAGACATCTAAAAAATTATATGAAATCTGAGGAATCTGACCACTTTGTCAACCTCTGACTTGTGCCCAGAGTAGGAATAGTTGCTGGCATGCTAAAGCTGGATAATGATATTTCTTTAATGACATTCCAAACTTTTTTGCAGTCATTGAAGATGAGAGCTGCAGGATAAAAGGTGGGAGAAAACTATTAGTATGTGTGTGTCTTTGCCAGTGTGCATGACATGGAGAAAAGTAGGGATTTCTCTTTTTACCATATAAAGAGAATAACTTGTTATTAAAATTATGGCCAAAAAAAAAAGTATTTGCACATTTGTTTTTATAAATATATTATTTTTATTAATAAAATAAATATATTTTTTATAAATGTTTAATATTATGGGCTCAGCTAAGTTGCCCACAAATAGTTATGTAAAATCATTTGGCTACTTAGGCTGCCTGGGCTATTGGATATCCAGTTGGAGGTGGCAGATACAGTCCAAGACATTGGGAACACCTCCTCATCTGGACTTGCATTTATGTAAACAAGCATGATACCTTAGGGTATCCCAAATGACACTAGATGCCTACACGTGGACAAGTACATCAAGCCTCTACTGCCTGGTAACTGAAACACTCTTTACTCTCCACTCTGGAGACCTGGTGTCACTCCAGACAGTGTAGGTTGTTCCACTTGGCCTCAGTAGAAAATTGGTAAGTCTGAGTAACTTCTATAACATCTGTGTCATATCTGGAAGCCCCATGTATTTGTTTAAATAACTTGCAATATCTTAATTGACAATAGGCATCTGTACTTAGGTAATTGCATCCCCTCCCTAGGGTCTGGTTGCCTAAACAGCTCCCTAGGACCCATTGGGTATACTGACTACATCTTTATAGCATAACATGGGAATTTAAACACTCATCACACACATAAACACTCACATACATGTGCCTGAATTTAGCTATTTCAAATTTAACATGAATTCCAGCATAATAGTTACATCAGGTTGCCTCCAAAAGTCCCAGACTGGGGCATGTCTTCCACATACATATTGCAAGCCCTAGGAACGTTTTAGAGGAATGTGAGATGGGAGTGATATCCAATAAACTCCCATAAAATCTTCAGTAATCTTCATTCTTCTACTGTGATTTTTTTCTTTATCTGATCTTCAACAGGTATTCCCTGTGTACTCTCCCTCTGCACCCACCCCACCCCCCCACCCCAAATAAATGAATAGTAAAATATTTTCAGCTTTTCTTTCCAGCACATATTAGCACAAGCTGGGAAGAAGGCAAAATGAAGCTCAATACTTTACATGTGTGTCTTTCAGTGCCTGTCTGCATCAGAGTCTTTCAGCCAAAAAATGCCAGGCTGATACAGCCCTCATCCAGCTGGTTCACCTGAGTGCAACAAGAACAGGATATTCATTGCTGCCTAAAGAACCCAGTGTCAAGACTTACTAGCATGTTCTGTGGACAACTCTTCTTCCTAGTTGCAAGAGGACCCACATACCCACAGCTTTGAAAGGAACCAACAGGAATGGCAGAAAAGGACAGTACTCCAAAGTACTCAGAGATTGGTACATTCCAGGGAGGAGCTGAAAAATCCAGTGTGAATTTGAGAGCAGCAAGTCTTCTTTCCCAGGGAACTAAGTCAAAAGATGGCATACTTGCCACTACATGACATACACTTTATCATGGGAAAAACAAACAAAAAAATTATCTGTTTCCAGTACTTTTCTTTTTCTCTTATAATACATTCAATCTATGTGCAAAAATAGATCCTCGGAGCAAGTACCCCCAAGCAGTAGTCCCCTGACATCAATTCCCTCTAACATTCCAGAAGTCACACAAGATACTGCAAAAAGTATCTTGTCCTTCTGCTGGCTCATCCTGGAGTACCCCACCAAAAAAAAAAAAGGTGGTCTAAGAATGTTTTCTGCATTTCATAAAGGCCCCCAAAGAATTTGTCCCTCTGAGACCAGAAATTATTCTGAAAAATACAGAGCCGAATCAAAAAGAAACATCCTTCCAATTTGGTCTCTATATCAAATTAGTGGACTGTCTGACCAGGAATTTAGGCAGTTCTTCCCCTGGACAGAATTTTCCACAGAGAGCTAGCATCAAAGGATATTCCTTTCTGAAGGCTGGATCTGTTGCAGAGTCTAATTTGGAGGTGGCCCAACTAATTTTTTTTTTTCTCAAATACATGTACTGAACACAATGAATGAATCATCTGCAGATCCTTTGAACTCCAGCTATTCAAAGCAGAAAAGAAGATGCTCCCAGACTCTTTACAGCATCAAGAGCACTTCTGAAGATTATGCTGTTTCTTTTGTCTTGGAAGCATTTGTTTGGAAAAATGGCTATTGACACAGACAAGAACTTCTCTCTTCAGAATTATTCAATTTATGAAATGGGGAATCTAAGGGTTCCTTGAACATGGGATTGGGAACATTGAAATGGACTCTGGAAAATAACCTGTCTGCCATTTTTAGAGAGAGCAGCAAGAATAGTCTCTCAGGAAAGAGAGAGAGGTTAAATTGTGACCAGTTGCCCACTGAATAAATTCCTAGCCATGGAGCCCTCTTCTTCTTCTTTTTTAGCTCTCTTTTAGTTCACATGTGCATGTCCTCTCTGTGCTTGTCTAGAAAGTTTATGAAAGCGACTTGAGCCTAGCAATGTGAGCAGGGACAGCAGGACAAAAGAAGAGAGCAAGCATAAGCTTTGCCCACTTTGCCCAAAGCAGAACCACTTTCTATGTGGTTCTGAGAGCTGTGCTCTGACCAGGTTCGCAGTTAAGTGGCTGATCAGTAAGACAATACCCAATTCTGATAGTGAGAGCCTGGCCTGTGATTTTTCTGTTGTGCAGGAAGATTTCCTCTCCGCGATCACTCTCTCGGGGATGTACTCCAGAAAACTGGCAGAACATGGCACCTTGCATGATCCAAAGTGGTGAGACTATGTGGTGTTAAGGACTAGTGCAGAGACAGAGTATGCAGACTTTCTCTTCTGCCATATGGAAGAAGATAAACTTAGAGCAATGAGGGCCGATAAAGAATTATCAAGACAGCTTGAGGATGTGCACTGGGCAGTGGTCCCATAAGGCCTGGGAACAGACTTTTATTGTAGCCTTTCAATAAACCAT